GTGGACTGCAGAGTGAACTTATAATTCAAGACACAGTTGTTATGAGTTGTCACTGCTCGAGCCTGTATCCAGCATTACATAACATACGACATCCAACTCCCCTGACTCTACGCTATCAAAACTGTATTCTTCAATACTGCAGTAACAACATGCATGCTTTCTGTCTGAAACAAATCATTTCTCCCCTTTTACCAAAAATAGGGACAGCACTGAAAAGGACTACATGGAGAGAATCAAATGCTACATGATGCAAATGTAATTAAAGGGCTTGCTGTGTACAGCATACTAAAAGAAAGAAAATAAATCAAAGATCATTAAATAAGTTCATAAAAAAAGGACTCTGAGACCTAATAAGGTCAGGTGCGAATAAGTATATTACTAGCAGCAAAGCATAACACAATGATTGTGTTATTGTGTAAGACCACTAAAACCAACATGGTTAAGGAGAACAAATATTGCATAAATATAACACTTAAAAACACATTTATTAAAGTACAGGTTAGTAGCTGAACACTAATTAGAGTTACTTACACTAATACAGGTTTTCCTGATATCCTAGGATGTCTTAATACTTCGATCATGGTCTCTTTAGTTTCTTCCATTCTCTCTACATCACTGGAATCCACAACAAATATTACCCCATAGGACTCTGCATAATAATTCTTCCAGATGCCCCGTATTCGCTTTCCACCTCCAAGGTCAAAGATGGTGACTTCAAACCTTCCTTGTTTAAGGTCAATCTTAGAAAATCCAACTGTAGGAGCAACATCTTCAGGAGATTCTGTCAACATACAGAGAAACTTTTTTTTAAGTGAAAAGCTCATTTAAGGACAACAATTCTTTTTTATTCTATGATTTGTGTACCAAACCTCAAACCCTAACCTCACTGGAAGCAAATAAGGCTGTTTAAACATAAAATACGTAGCTCAGAGGTATCTTTGCAATAGATTTCAACCGGAAAAAAATATTTATAGCTGAATTTCAAGTTTGGATAGTCACATGTTGAAAGCTTCTGGGGTTTCTTAAGTTATACGCAAGAGTGCTTGGGACTCATTTATTATGATTTCTAGAAGGTACAGCCTGAACATCTCTGCAGTGTTAAGGCGGCATAAAACTAAGTCAGTACATCAAACAAGGCACAACAAGTTTATGGAAAAAGAACAGGGTCTTGTATATTTTGCCAAATTCATCCTTTAACACTCCTGAATCTCAGTTTTCACTAAAATTATGTTTTAGCATTTGTGACTGCTGAAATACCCTTGAAAGCACAAATCAAGCAAAAAGAGATGCCTGACTGACTCTGTAGAAGAGCCTGAACCAGTAGCTCTCTGGTAAGTAAACGGTCTTATTTGTCTCAGTGAAGGCTTCATGAGTAACATGATTTTACAGCAGTATATCCAGGACACCATAGGATTTGCTTCTGGCTGCAGACATGTAAGCAGCATTTGGTTTTGTCTCCCTTTTCTGCTGGGACCAGCCTGCATTTGCTTCACACACTTCAGCTATCCCTATATGGGCAAATTAACTGGATCTCTACATACTGTTCCATGGAACCAGGTAGCAAAGAGTCACTAGCCAAGCAGTGTAGAGGGCAGCAGCAATCACACAAAGAGCAGACTGAGCAACCTAAAAATGTGCGTGGTAAGGGAGGCCTGTGGACCTGGAAAAGATTAACAACTGAGGCCAGATACAATGGACTTGGCAAACCACAAGATGGAGATTGAGCCAGACCACTTTGATGGCATCACAGGAGCCAAGACCCAAGCAACAGAGCCAGGGCACCTGAACTACAAATTCCTACTCTGAAAAATCACCACCACATTTCATGCTGAAGAGTGTTTTCACATTCGAGAGGAACAAAAAAAAATTTGGATTTTACATGACTGCAGAACAAAGTAACACAAACGCAAAAGTTGAAAACCTGCTGTTACATATTTTGGTTTTGTTGTGATATAAAGTACGCAGGAGCCTGATAATAACAAACCTTAGCAGCTGCAGGTCTTTGTGTCTGGCTATCAAGCCAGCCAGCCAAGCTCTTGAGAAGCATACAACAGAAACATGCGCATTCTGAAGTACTCAAACCAAAAACTGAATTATAGGCATTCCTCCTCTGAGGCAAGGAAGGAAAGAGGGGAAAAAAGTGGCATTTGTATTTTTCAAGCCTGAATTGAACAACACAATATTCAGAAATCTCCAAAAGAGCCAAAACAATTGCTCTCTCTCTCTCCTTTTTTTTTTTTTTTTTTTTTTTT